GGGCCCAGCCGGGAAGTGCCTGCCAGCACCAGAGTGCAGCCAGGCCGCTCAGCCTGAGGTCGCCTTCATTGAGGAAAGTCCTTCATTGAGGAGAGGCCTTCATTGAGGAGAAGAGGCCTTCATTAAGGAGAGTCCTTTATTGAGGAGAGGCACATGACGCCAACCTGCTGCCGGGTCCCTCCGCCGCCCCCCAGGCCGGGGGGACAGGCCCGTGCTGGGGCTGAGCGGGGGCTCCCAGCCTGCAGCGGCTCCGTCGCAGGGAGAGCTCACGCCCCAGCTCTGAGTCCGTTGGGGCTGGGGGGGCACAAGGCCTCCAGGCTCCGGGGTGGGTGCGTTGGTGCCATCAGGGTAGCAAAGCCCCCCTCACTGTCCAGCTCCTTGGGGAGATACCGTCCTCTTGAGGGGCTACATTCGAGTGCTGAGGTCCACCTAAGGAGGACAGAGAGGGAGGGGTGGGCTTGGCTGCCCCCAGTCCATTAGCGGGGTGGGGATGGCGCGACTGGGTGGGTCCCGCGGGGCGGGGCGCTGATGTGGACCACGGCGTCGTGCACCGAGGGGAAGAAGCTGTGCTTGGTGATGGCTGCGCTGAAGAAGTTGCCCTTCTCCAGCTGGGCAAGGACAGGCACTGAGTGGAGGGAGAAATGTCTCAAGCTGTGGCACCCGGCTGAGCCTACCCCACCCGAGCAGTCTCCCTGCCCCTGCGCTGCGGGGGACGCCGGGGCCGTCACCAGGGGTCCAGCTGCCTCGACAGGGACTGTGGGGCTCAGACTGGGTCCATGGGACAACCTGCAGCACCGGTCCCCTGGGGAGACCCTGGGGGGACGGAGACACCATGGAGAGAGCCCCAGGCTGTGTCCCCCCAGAATCTCAGTTCTGCAGAGCCTCCTCACCCGGGCAGCCGGCAACGAAGACGTCCACTTCAATCTCATGGAAATCCCTGAAGATCTGCAAAGAGAAGAAAACAGGGGAAGAGGGACAGGCAGCAGCCTTCGGGCCACGCCGCAGGGCCCTGGGGACGCCCCTGGCGAGGCTGCTGGCCCCCTGCTCCGCCAGCCCCTTACGTTCTTCAGGATCTTGATGGAGACGGTGTCCA